CTAATTTAAAGTCTCAAGCACATGTTCTCAGCTGTTGTGAAATTATGCCACTAAGTGCAATATGCTCTGTCGTTTTACATCAGCTGAGAATCTACTTGTGAGGGCAAAATAAGTGGATACAGCTGCAGTTCTCTTCCTTGGGAGTTGCCCCTCATACACAACTGATTGCAGGTGGCTGTGAGTTGGTATTTTAAAAGTACAAGTTTTTGTGGTGGGGGGGTTTTTTTGGGTTTTTTTTTTTGGGGGGTGGGTGTTTAAAATGTATCTGGTGAAGTTGAGTCATGTGCTCTCTCTGATGGCTGCCCAGGGCCTGTAACCCACCATACCCCAACTCAGAGAAAAGGACATGGATGGAGCTAGCTTAGAAAATAGATTACCAGATCATAAATGAAACATCATCTCTCATGCCCTATCATGTGGCAGAAAAAAGATAAAATTGAAGATGTGACTCCTTTTTTCTTCAAATAATACTGTGCTGTTACACAGACTTAATTATCCCCAAAGACACATCTAATAATTGTTGGCCTGTCGATCAAAACCCTTATTAGACATGCACATGATGTCACATCACAGTCTAACAAATCTTCCTGCCAGTCAAAAACCTTTATGAAGATTATTCTGATTTCAGATGCAAGTTTTGTGTTTGACCTTTTACCCAACTTCTTCAGGGCTGAAACTGGGGAAGAGCTAAATATTTTCTCTGTGCCGCTGAGCTGGGATGACGGGCTCTGGGCTGTCCCTAAGAGTTTCCCTCCTGGCCACTCTCTGCTTTATGCTGCAGCACAGACCCTAGAAAGGGGCTTTGCCTTGGAGGGATGGGGTGGATCTGTGTTTCTACAGCTCTTCTCCCCCTTCTTCTGTCCTGTCTGTACCACCTGGCTGCTCAGGATATCACGAAGCTGTGCTTCACTGATACAGTCCGTCCCGTGCACTCTGCGTACACCCAACACATTGCTGTGGCCATGCACCCATGGCAGTGATTGCTGTGCTGGGAGAGACCCTGTAGTCTTTGTCCTAGGAAGAAATATCTGCTTTGCTAAGGGAAAAATGTGTGCGCCTGGACAGAGCAGGCACCGTACTGACAGCCCAGGGAGCTCGCCAGCCTGTGCATCAGAGCACCAAGGGTGAGAGGTAAATGCACTAATCACCACTGGGATTTGAAAGGCAGCCCCATCCAGGTTTCCCAGATGAAACAGGCAGGCACATCGAACTGCTGTACTGTTGTGCTGCCCTGAGCAGCTCTGGGCTGTGTCGCACATGCTGCCTGCGCTGCTCTGTGCCTGCCCAGCAGTTGTGGCAGGCTTTGGAGGTGCTGGATTTCCTTTGCTAACCTTTCCTGTGCAGGTTAACACAGATACTCCACATATTCAAGGCATTCCTGTAAGTGCAGCACCAGATTTGTATCTGTAAATATAAAATCATCACTGGCAATAACATTCAATTCTTGCTCGAGTGGCATTTGGTGGAAAGCAATTAATGACATTTCTGGCTGCTGGAAACATCACATGTTCTGTTGGGGTCTCCTAGTGTCATTTCTCTCTCCCTTCCCACAACCCCAGGCAATTTTTGTTTCTCATCTTTGTGAGGAAGAACTGATGTTGTAGGATGATGATTATCCCATTGCACTTGATACCGTCTACACTGCTGTTGAGTGAAAAAGGTGGTGCCTTCGTAGTGGACCTGGCTGGTAAGTCACAGCTTGGAGGGAGGGCTCCATTGCAAAGCACTTGTCATCATGGTGGTGTCATAGGCAGCTCTTCGAGATCTGTAGTTGGATACCGAATCTGAAGAGGTTATAAATTTATTTACTGATAGTGCATCAAGTTTCATGTACCCAGTTGTACTGGCACTTAAAGTCTCTTTTGAACTGCAATAACACCAAATGGAAGAGGCTGAGGCTTTCAAGATAATGTAATTTATCTTCTAAAAATCTGCTTTTTAGATGTCAGGCAAAACAATTTCACAATAGCTAGAAAAGATCTTGTCTGGCATCGCTGCATATTTATTGGTCCTTAATGTAACTTGAAAATATTAGGCCATATTGTGGTGTTCAATTTTCTATTGATTTTTCAGACAGCCTGATAACACAAACGAAAAAAATGCCTATAATTAGACATCCTTCCTAAAGCTGAGCGACTTTGGAGAAAGCCACACAGCAAGCTTCCTCTGCATGTAAAACTTCAAAGTGCTTCCTAGATTCATGAACTACAGGCAAACTCAAAGGCAGCAGGAAAAGTGGCAGTAAACAATGAGAAAAAAATACTGCCTTCATATTTGAAGGAGACATTTTTCCCTTCTGAGAGAAGCTAAAATCATAATGTTCACATCTGCAGGACAAAGTGGCCATAGTGAGGTTGGCCATGCAAGCACCATCTTGCACAGCCCATGTTAGTGGTTTCAATGCAGTTCTCCTTCCTGAGCATTGCTTACAGAAAAGAGGATTGCTCACAGCTTTTTCGTGTTCAGAGGCAATTCAAAACTTTCAGGTGATCATCAGGTATCTTCCTTGGAAGTGGTATCTACGAATGCAGCAGTAATTGGCTCCTGTGGGAGAGGAACAGCAGAGGAATGACCCACTGGTGCAGTGGGTCAGACCACAGTTAGCCCAAGAATAGGATGGCAAATCCCTTACCCCAGACCCCAAATTGTGCCAAGGCTTTGTATTTTTGAGCATCTGAATGTGCTTTGTAGCGTTTTCTTACTTTTCTGCTTGGTCTTAGTATTTGTGCCGAAAGGTTTCTTCTTTAAAGCTGATAGAGTTTAACTGTTGTCCTTGCAGTTAAAACAGCAACAAAAAACCCCTAACCAGTCAAGACAAAAAGGGTGATGTATGAGATTTTATAAAACTTTTTTTGGAATAAAGATCATTTGAGTCATTCTCATCTGATTCACCCTTAGCTTGTTGCAAGCAAGCTCCTTCTGCAGAGGAATTAGGCTGCACTCAATCCCTGGTAAATTCAGCTGATGAGATGGTTCCACTTACCCTCTCCATCACGGCAGCAGCTCTCGCTGCCTGACCCTGGGGCACGGTGCTGCCGCCAGCTGTGACTTAGCATAATTCTGCTCATCACATGGGCTGCTACGTGTCCAGGGGCTCATCAGGGATGAGCATAGGGTTTATGAACTTTCTGGAGCTTGTTTCCAAAAAAACCTCTTGCTCCAAAGTCATAATGAAGAAACTGGTCTTTACTGGGACAATCTTACTCCTTTTATCTTGGGGTTGAAGTTTTAGCTGCTCTTCTTTCCCTTCCCCTTGGAGGAAGGGGAAAGGCTTGGAGACTCGCAACAGCCTGCAGGACCTATGCAGAAACCATAAAAGCAGTCTTACTTATTCTGGCTGATAGTCCTGCCATCCTGGTCCAACAACTGCAATGATATTGAGGTGCATGACATTGCAGGGGGCAAAAAGTTGTGCAATTGTTGTCAGGTTTCTTTAATACTTTTTGCTGTGTTACCTTAGAAGATCTTCTGTGAATCCTACATAACTTCTGTCACTGAAGAGTTAGAGACAGCGCGCTGTGGCTCTGCCACCACCTCAATTAAAAAAAAGTCTTTTTTTCTGGGATAATGATATTTGGTGGTGGTCCCTTTCTTAGGATTATGTCTGCTCCTTCTCATATTTAGTAGACCCTATAGATTCCCCTTCTTATGATAAATTACATCTGCTTAATACAAATATTATAGTCTTTATGGAATGATTGCCAGGGGTGTGGGGAGGAGAAACAAGTGAAACACATTTTTCAAACATTGCCTAGCAGGGCACATCTTCATTGGAGGATTTTTTTTATTAACCTCTTACACAAACAGAAAATCTTCATTTAATTCGGACACCTTTTATTATAGTTTGAAGTTACCAACAAAATAACAGGGAACAAAGAGAGGGCTCTGTGCAAGAAAAAGGCCACAACACCCTGCCATGGAGGATTCACAGCGCTTTGGAAGTAGGCTTAATTCAAATAGGAGTGCATAAGTACCCTTAATTCAACCAAAGAGCAGGTTAACACTGAAAGGGATTGTCCTACTCTCTCCACGCCTGGCCATTGGGTCGCACTGCCCCTTTTGCACCACTTCCATGCTGTGGGTTGGATCAGCATGAGATGAAATCATTGTTCCATAAGATGACTCACATTACAAAGCTGTACCCTGGGATCCCGTCATTAAATCCCCCACAAGTGATCCTCTAAAAGCCCTCCTCTTAAGGGTGCCAGAATAGTGAAAGCAGAAGACATTTATATTTCCCCTGAAGACCCAGTCCTTCCATCAGCCCTCAGAGCAGTTTGCTAACTAAATCTTCTATGTATCCGAATAATTTATCATATGAATAAATTCATTTATGCCGAATGAAGAGGTGGACTACTGGGATGCAGCAATGCCAACACAACAAAATTGAAGCTGGGGAGTGGGGGAAATGAACCTGTAACAATGGCAAGTGTTACTGTCTGCTCAGGTGGCGGGAGACAGCTGTGACCACATCTGAAATACGACAGTGTGGGGAGGTACAGAGCAGCATCTGAAAAGGGCTTTAGAATAAGCAGAGCTGAGCAAAAAAACAAGCTGCTTTTTTGGACCTGCAAAAATATGGTTGTTATAGAATGACTGAAAACTAAATTGCAAGTTTTATGTCTCATTCCAAATTTTCCAGTTCATAAAGTACATAAGTAGCATTTCTGTGCCTTTTACTTGCCACTGACATGTAAGAAGTGTAAGTCTCAACTCCTGCCAAACGATCTGTTACCCCAAGCCCTTAACCTGGGCAATTGATGAATGCATGTTACCAATGCATGCAGCCCAAAGACTGAAAATATTAAAAGCCAGATCTCAAGTAGTGTAAACCGGCTTTAGTCCAGCTTACACCAGCTGCTGATCTGCCCCGTAAGTGTCTTACAGCAGTAACAGTTGGAGGGATGATGGTTTGCGTTCACTAAATGCTGATGAGGGCTACCTAACTAGGTGTGCTTTGCTTGCATTTGTAGCCAGGAGACTGATTGTACTGAGCATTTTTAAAATTCCTCTCTCTTTAGCTGTTCTTCAAAGAAATCATTGCATGCCACAGTCAAAGCAGCAACCAGAATGACAAATTCATTAAAATCCACTTCGTTGTCTTTATTGGAGTCCAGATCTTTCATAATCTTATCAACCAGAAGGGGGTCCTTTTCGCCCTAAAGAGAAAGAAAAGTGACTTAGCTGTGCAGATCTTGAATGTGTAAGTCTGATACACCCAGTGGTGGAACATCCAGCTATCTCACAAGCCCCGATGCTATTAAATAAAAGACTGTATGAAATATGCGCCTGAGTAGTAACGTACCACTAGCTACAGAATTGAAAACATAGGTCTGGAGTCCCAAAAGTGCACAGCAACAGAAACCAAAGACAGTGCAGCTCTTAGAAGTATTACAGGTACTAAATAGGCACTGAAATGAATCAAACAGATTTTAGGAGCTGATAAGCACTGATTTCTTTTGACAAGATGGATCTATAATGTGCATTTCTCTGTACCATCCCTTAACAACAGCACTTAGATTTTCAACCGGCTATTTGTATGTGGTCGTATTATCCATCCATTTATCACATTCAGAAGATCTCTACTTAGCAAACACATCCTATTCAGTGTGAGTAAGAACAGTGAATTTGTAATAATGAATCAATAGCCAAGATTAAAGGAAATCTAATTCAAGGAAATGAATACAACATAAAAAAAATCCTGCTGATGGTGCTAGGGTCCACAACAATTTTTACAATTAAGACAAACACTATGAATCTGGTCATTATTCCATAAAAAGCATCCATGCTGTGTAATGTAGAACATAACAAGTGTGCAACAAGATAGTCAGATCAGCAGCTTATCAATAAAAGAATTTTCTTAGCATGTCTCTGCAGGGCACACAAGCAGCTGTACTGTGTCTGTGGCCATTGTGCACAAGCTACTTTCTTGTCTCATGAGAACCGGTTGCTGGATTTAATTCTTTGAAGGATTTATCTATGCCCTATTATTAAAAACAAATGAACAAAAAAAAACCTGATTAAAGCCTGATTTAGCATTGATTTTCATACCGCTTCTAGGCTGCCCTTGCCCTTCTGCTCAGGAGTGCAGAGGAGGAAGCAAAGCACAGGTACGTGGCTCTGCTGCTGGTGGCACCTGGCAGGACACTGGGGCTGGACCACCCTCTGAAAACACACTTCTCAAAGGGGACATTTGATCTTATCTCCTTCTGTCCAGCTCCACAAAGGCAACTGTCATCTGAGAGGCTGTGGCAGTATGTGCCTTGCAGAAGGACACTCTATTCCTGAACTTTAGCTCCTTATCGCACCCATGAAAAAGCAACTCAGGTTCAGGAGCTGCGTCTTACTGAAAGAAAGTCAGTGAGCTCACTGGTGAGCAGCTCCTTGAGTTCTCCTTTACTGAGCTTGTATCTGTCTCCTTCTTTGCCAGAGTAGTGATGGAAAATCCTGATCAAGCTGTCCATTGCGTCCTCCAGTGGTGTGGACATAGCAGTGAATGGAAGAGCTGCAGGGCAAAGATCCAGAGTCAGTGACATTGCACAGGAGCCAAACCAAAGTCTGGTCTCAAGGAAAGGATGGAGAGGTAGCTGACGAGAGGAATTGTTACCACTGCTGAAAGAACAGGTTTTCAGTTGGTCCATCCTGTCAGCTATGTGTGAACAAGGCTAGACTGTTATAAAATAGAACATTGTCCCGAACTCACTAGCAATTACTTCGAAACGGTAAAGGGAAAGGAAGGCCTTTATTTAAGAAAGCGATCTACTATGCATCCATTTTGCAAAGCTACTGTAAAAGGAAATCTGTCATACCCATAGCTGAAAACACAGGGAAAATGAAGGCACACTCCCCCTACCTGTTCATTCAAAAGTTTTCTCAAGAAAATGAGATCAACAAATAACAGTGACCGAAGTGGATGTGCATTTATACAGAAGGCTCCACACCAGTTTCTTAGGTCATTAGAGGAAAGTCACCAGTAATAAGGACAGAAGCATCAGCTTTCAATTTATTTGGTCGTGTTTGCTTGGGGTGACCTTTTATTTTTTTGGAATAAACAAATGTGAGCTAGGCAGCCCCAAGGGTTTGCTTCATCTAGCATGCAGTAAGAAGGTACACAGGGAAGCACCACCAAGAAAAAAAGATGGAAATGCGATTAGTTGCTGAGTAGCTGACTAAAAAAATAACTAAAAATGGAGATCAGGTAAAAGTGAAACATTATGTTGATTAAGCCCTGGGAGAGAGATTAAAAAGCCAGAATGAAACTCAAGGTAAGACTGGAGTCCTGAGTAATATCACCATGCAAAGGCTAAGACTTACCTGCTTTACAGGCTAGCTGAGGTGTATGCAAGAAAATATTCAGATCACAGAAGGTGATGGTCACCGTCCTTTCAAAACTCCTGCATAGGCTCTTGTTTATCAGGCTGAGGGAGTGGATTACACAAATAGAGACAGACGTGTAATTGTCACGAGGATGACGGGGCTTCAGTTTCCCTCTGCATTTGCCTGCTCTGTTCCATAAAAGCCAGTGGCTGTAAGTGGGTCACTAAAATATTCACTAGGCAGAGCAGAGGGCTGTGTGTGGAACATACAAGATATTTTTTTATCATTTGACCTTTTACAAATATGGCCACCTAGGTCCCCAAAGGTCAAAATTAGAAAATGCTAGCAATCACCAAGTCAGTATAAAACAACATTCCCCATTTTCAAAAGAACTCTCTAATCTGTCTCTCTGCACTTCTACAGCTGGGAGTCTACATGCCTTGGCACTGACAGCCAGTGTTCAAACATACTTGGGTACTTAGGGGCAGGCTTGTAGGTGAGTTTGCACAAATTCCTTGAGACATCTGCCTGTATCATCAGATGTCTCCATAAGCCTGAAACGATGGCTCCTGCTAAATGAAATTCTTGCTGTAGCACATGTGTCCTCAGGAGGAAACAAGGAAACCAGTTTCAGAGGAAGGTGTGCCTGAAATTACAGTGTGCACCGATCAAAAGGCTTGGCTTCTTTTTTACTAGTCCTGCACAACAACTGCAGTTCAGCATCTCTCTTCTAGTAAGTGATCTTCCCCCCAGGAAAGCTTCCCCTGCCTCAAGCCCAGGGACCTGCTGACCCCAGGGGCGATGGCTGGGGGATGCAGGAAACAGCAGCTTCACCATGATAGCACCTGCTTACCACCCCAAATACCAAATAACTACAGTTTTCAATACAGCCACATGAAATGGAAAACTGCTTGCTTTGGGTTTGCTTTCCCTCAATAAAGCCTTGCACCTGCTGCACACGCATGTCCAGGGAGCACAACTGTGCGGATAAACTGCAAGAGGACACACAGCTGCAGCTCTTTCTCTCTTTTATTCCAGCCAGGGGGAAAGAAAATGAAACAGGCATTGTTTGTAGCTCTGAAATCCTCCAGGCACTGGTAATTTTGAGTGCCACAGTAGATCTCAGCCCATACCTCTGCCTGCCTCCTTTTCCTCCAGACGTGACGTTTCTTCCATCTGCACGGTTATGACAAGTCTCCACAACCTGAGGGGTCTCGGCTGTGCCTCTGGGAGAAGGGGGAGGGAGTGGGGGGCAACACAAAAATGCTGGATCCCCGCGGTATGGGAGGTGACTGTGTGTAAAGCGTTGCTTCCAAAACAGCAGTCAGGCTCTTCTGGTTAGAGGTCCCTGCGGACACGTGCAATACTGCGCGCAGGGCGTACGCCTTCACCTCCCGTCACTGCGATGGTGAGCGCTCACCAGGGATGGGGGGAGCCAATGCTCAGGTAAATTTTAGAAAAGGTCGAGGTGGAAGCCAGCCGGGAAATGTTGATATGTGAGAAGAACCTAATCCCTCCTGGAGTCGGAGAGTTGGGAAGGAGAGTTGCTCTCCATATCTCTCCTGTATTTGGGGATAGCTAATGGGTGCCTGGTTTTGTACAGAGGGAGTCTCTGTGCTCCAGCAAGCACAGGAATCTAGCTGTACCATATGCAGCACATGGATGAAGAACATGGGTGATATCAGGCACAGCACAGCTCTTCCACTCAGATCCTGGGCATTCTCTGTGTCTTTGCAGATGCTAAGAAAAAGGATAGAGTCTCTTATGTAGCTACAGCCATGCAGGGCTATGTCTTCCCTGTGATTCACTAGTCCTTATAACTATTGCTTGGAAATACTAACCAGATAAACACCAAAATACTGGAGTTTTTATTCAGCAACAGTTTCACCCACACTCAGAAAAAAACCACAGCTGAGTCAATACATAAGTATAAAATCCTTATGTTTGTCTATATATTACATTGATCCTCTGGCTGATGAATATTGCAAATTAATTATCTAAGCAGAGTCTACAGGAGGTAGAACTTCCAGGAAGCAGGTATAAACTTTCAGAGCTGCCATCCTCAGGACAGAAGAAAGAAGGGTTTCCTCTGTCATCTCCATCAGCTCAATAATTTATACAGTGATATAATCTGTGCAGTCTCTTTCAATAGCTACTTTCACTCCAGCTAATTGTGTAAGAAACTCTCTGCTCCATGCTAGTGGATTACAGGTACACAGGAAATGGCTACACTGAGTTTGTTTGTTAAAAGGTCCGTCCAATTTGCTGTGTCCATCCCTTTCCTCCCTGGCTAGTGAAATCTTGCCAGTGGCTCCAGTGACAGTAGACATGTCCTAACTCCTGAGAGGGCAGGTCCCAGAGGCTACTCAAAATTCATGATTATCAATCAACTGTTTTCAATCCTTCATCCAAAACTCCAGCACAATCTGGTTTTGTATGATATCTAATGGGCACTGAAGATAAGTAAAGTCAATGCAGCCTGCGAGCACTTCTGTATACGGGCAAGACCCGACTCTGTGACAGCAACCACCACTCCCTCATCAATCCTTCCCTGCACTCTGGTTTCTACCGGACTAAACACAGGAGCAGCACCAGACGTGTGGTTGACAGAGGGAGTAGGACTGCAGCATGACCATAGACATGGTGAAAATTGGTGCCTTCCTCATTCATGACCAAACTTTGTCCATCACAACCTGTCAAATCATGGCAGTGTTGGTGGGAAGGGACCTCTGGAGGTGCCTAGTACTATCTCCTGCTCAAAGTGGGATGATGACCAATGCCAGACCAGGTCGGCCATGGCTTTGTCTAGTTAAATCTTGAAAATCTCCAAGGATGGACATTTCGCAAGTTCTTGAATAACCTGCTCTGTGCTCTACTACCTTCCTGGGGAAGATACCAAATTTCCGCATCCCAAGCTGCAATTGTGGCCACTACCACAAAGAGTTTGACTTTATAAATTCCCTTCAAATAGTCTTGGCTCCTCACTCAAACTCAAAAATAAAGTTGAAAGCAGCCTGTCCCCTGACTTGCCCAATCTAGTTCCATGTTTTAGTGTCCCCTTCACATTGTGTGCTTGTCCCTTGCAGGCTGCTCCAGCTGTGCCCTTCTCCTAATGAGTATTTCAATAATAATGTGTGCCCTGCAAAATCAATGTCTGTCAGCAGCAGAGGGGCAGATTTTTCATGGGGCATGGCACAAATACGCTATAGGGCCGAATTCTGCCATCTTTGCTCAAGCGATAATTGATGCTAGGCTTACAGAATGAGTCAGCCATCTGATTTCACTGGAGGCTGCTAAAAGAGAGAGGTTTTTCCTTGCCCTGTAAACCTAAGAAAGGACCCAACCACTATGACTGATTACTTTAATTTTAGTTGGGGTCATGTAGAGGTACATCTAGCTGGGAGGCTCTACGTGGTCACTCCTCCCCTCCTACATGGAGACAGGGCAGTCAGACCACAGGCAGAAAATCTTATTGCTGGTCTCTGTTCATCAAAAAAATGAGTAGAGTTCTGTCCTGTGTGAAAGCAGTCAGCTCTTCACATAGGTCAGAAGCCTTCTTCCTCCACAGCTGGGAAGAAGCAGCTTTGGCTTCTTCCATAGGATTTTTCCTTGTTCTCTTCTTGAGGCAACATATCACAGGATGCCTTTAAGCCAGAGCAGCCTATAAAGTGACAGTCTAAGCCACAGTAAAATACTGCTCAGCTTAAGTGGGAGGATCTGATACTTAGGGCATCTGGTATTCAACATTTGCCAGAATGCACGTGGGGAATATTTTCTCACAAATAATTATTGTGCTGGGAAAGGCAAGTCAGCCTCCCACCCACATCCTGTCATTATTTATTTTTCCCAAACTCACACTGTTCTTGGGATGCACGTGTTTTGAATCAATGTTGTACCCCCAAAGTGGCAAAAGGTGTGATGGGAAGCAACAGGGAACACTGCAAGGCTCAGAAGGACAGATACACTATACACTAAAAAGTTTACATTAGATTAGAGCCTAATTAGGCTAAAGAGCTTATAGAAGACTTACATTTGAATCAGTATTTCTCGTTAAGTTATAAGGAGCACTTTTACATTTTTTAGGATTGTTAGCATTTTCATTTGTGTTTTTTTTCTGTATCTGGGTGGTTGATTGATATATCCCTTTACATCAGGCATGTCTCCCTTCCCC